GAACCTAGTTCCCCTGTAAATAAAACTATGTATTGAGGTATAATTGGATCTCTATTGTATCTAACAGCCAACAGCCCTGACATTGTGTTTAGTGTTGGGTTGTGTTCTAGATTCATATCAAGTCCTAAAGAATCTCATTTAAAAGCTGCCAAAAGAATTCTGAGATATCTTACAGGAACGCAGGACCTGGTCCTCCAATATCCCTCAGGAGATAATTTTGACTTAATTGGGTATGTTAATGCTGAGTATGCTGGTTATCTGGTGGATAGAAAGAGCTCATATGGCATGTCACATTTTCTGGGATCTTACTTGATTTTACGAGGTACAAAGAAACAAAATTGTGTGGCCCTCTCTACTGCAGAGGCTGAATATGTGGCAGCTACCTCCTGTTGTGCCCAGCTATTCTCTAATTGTGCTCCACTGATGTGTGACAACACAAGTCCCCTTAATATGGAAAAGAACCCGGTCATCATAAAAGGACAAAGCATATTGATGTGCGCTACCATTTAATTTCCTGAGGGACAATGTTGAAAAATGACTTATCTATATGAATTTCTGCAAGACAGATGACCAGATAGCCGATATCTTCACCAAAGCACTGAGAAAAGAGCACTTTAAAAGGAAACGACTAGAGTTGGGATTGATCAACAGAAATTGAGAACCTTTTGCCCCATCGATGATTGGCTATGAAGGGATGGTAAGGTGAATTGCTAAAAAGTATTTTCTGGCAACTTCTAACTCAATTCTATACCGTTATAGGTAAACATGCATGGAAACTACAGGACAAACAAGTAGCTAATGACATTGCAATTTCTGAAAGGATGTTACTCATATTTTAAAAATCAGTCCGGGAACCTGGTTCCCATGACTCAGGTTAGTAGTTCCTATTATACTCATACGCATTTTTGAACTGCTAGTGTGCCACAGCAATAATTATTTCTTCCTTTTCTCATACCTCATAAACCAACCGACACTCCCGTTACAAATCGACCCGTCTGCCCATTTCATTAAATCACGTCTACATGTAACCGGTCCCCTCTTTCCCTCTAAATACCCCACAAAGCCATTCTCTCTCTCTCTCTCTCTCTCTCTCTCTCTCTCTCTCTCTCTCTCTCTCTCTATATATATATATATATATATATATATATATATCTCGCACTCTCTATCTCTCAACTGTTTATATCAAACATCCCTCTTCTAAAAAACCCTCTTTGTGTGTCTTTAATCTCTCAAAATAGACCACGTTTTCACTATCTGAGTCTCTAAAAGCTACTACTGAAGTCCATGATGTGTCTTCGCCTCATGAACCACGACCATCAGGATCGGACTCCCAACCTTCACCCATTGAAACCCCAATTTCCAACCAACCATCATCCACAGTCTTCCCCCTACTCTGTCCAGTTCTGGTTCCCATCGCAACCGAAAAAACCAAACGCCCAAAAAGTTTGATGTATTTCCCTTACGTTAGCTACCACAGAGAAAATGGAAATAGAAAGACCTTCATCCACCTCTCACTTTCTCCAAACCATAGAAGAAATAGTGGAATGAGATGAAGGTGTAGAGGTCTCTAGTCAGCGTGTTGAGGAAAAATATGTGGACAAAATGGTTGTTACTGGTTCGGGTGGTGGTGAGTTTGTATCTGGTATCTATAAAACCCCAACTGTTTAGGGGTTTGATCTAAATGTCTTGTCATGATTAGGTAATGCTCCACCCTCTTCTACTGGTACTGTATTTTTGCATAGTGCTGGTGAGAAAGATGAAAATTATTTGACTGTTATTGCTGAGGGAAGTCCAGTTTGGGAATCCTTTTCTGGTTGTATGAGTATTGGGATTCAGGGGGAAGAACGTGGGAATGGGGACTAGGTGCTTAAAGGTGACAAGGCACCAATCAGTACTATAGGGGAGCCTACAGAGGGACTTGGTCCCTCTTCCCAAGAGAAGTTCTCAGCTATTACTTGGGATGAAACTCCAAGCTCTATTAGACAGCCCCTGAGCAATACTGAACCTACCTTATCCCTCACCTTGATGTAGCCCCTTTAGAGATTATATACCCTGCAATAAAGTCTATATTAGAAGGAGAAGGAGATGACAGTGAGGAGGACTATGACAATTTGTTTGTAGCCCAGTTTATCACTGCTAGGAGTGGTAGGACAATTACACAAGAGTCTGTTCCTAAATGACCTACCACTAGGAGGTAATAATAGGTTACTCTTGACAGTGTATTAAAGGAGAATAAGGAGAAAAGGAAAAGGAGAAGACTTGTGAAAAGTCGAATGTTTGATGAGGAGGATGTGCCTCCAACAACTATTGTGGAAGTTAAGGATGCAGAGTCGTATCATGAACGTGCTCCTCTTGTTCGTAAAACGTCTAAGAAGGGTGTGTATGTGAAACAAAAGAAAGTTTAAAATCTATGAAGAATACTGAAGTTGGTGGTGAAGAAGAAGTTGAGAAGGAGAAGTCTGTTGAGAAGGAGAAAATTGTTAAGAAAAAGAAGCCTCTCAAAAAGAGGCCAAGCAGCAGTGAGGAACATGGTTCCTCAAAGAAGGCAAGAGTAGATGTGTATGAGCTTGAGAGGAAAGCCAAATTGAAAAAGCAGAAGTTCTGTGGGGTATAGTTTTTGACACCGACATTCTTGATTGGTCTTGAATGAGGTTGTTGGTTGAAATCTACGACTTCCAAACGTGGACTCATCTATTTACTGTTTAGAGTACAAAGGTTTATGAGGAGGAAGTTCATTTTTTTTATGATGATTTGTTCCCGAATACCAACTCTTGTTCTAGTTGGTGAACAAGGTCTTGCTACCAAGGGGTAAAAGGCGACCATTGCCTTTATAGCAGACCTGGTTCTTTTGGAGGTACTAGACGGCTACACTCCTATCAATCTGCTTGGGATTTTGATTGAACACATGAAGAAAGTGACATACTTCAAGGATGGAAATCATGGGTTTCCATATGGGTTCCTGCTCACAAAAGTCTTTAAATGATTTGAGGTCCCTTGGGGAGAACATCTGTGGGAACTCATAAACAAATGTTCTCAAAGAACACCTTGGAGGAATGCGAGCGTGTTGACAAAGGGGG